TTCCAAAAGCACTACATATGAGAGAGAGAATTTACAATGACAATACTAACATTTATGAAATTTGATTTTTAAAAAAAAATTAGAGAAACAATGAAAACATTAATAAACCTCCATATATTTTTAAAATTTTATATATTGAATATTGATGTCATATGAAAGATTGTTAAAAATAATGAATTTTGATATACTTTTTATATCATGAATTATTTTCTTTATTTAATACGGAACATTCTGTATTGAGGTTGGAAAATAGGAAGATTGTTTAATAGTCCTTCATTTTTTCTTAAATTTTATATATCCAATCTTGGTGTCATATGAAAGATCGTAAAAAATTATGGATTTTGATATAGTTTTTATAAAAAATTAGATAAATGGTAAAAAAGTTATAACACTTGGAAAAATCTAATACATATTTTCTAATGGGGATACTCTAATATCCTAATAAGCCTAGCATCATCAAAATCTAAATACAATTATTCTTACAAATTTTATATATGCATTATTGGTGTCATATGAAAGATCGTAAAAAATTATGAATTTTGGTATATGTTTTATAAAAATCAGAGAAAAATTGAAAAAGTTATAACACTTTAAAGAAAATGGAAGTTTTTTATATAATGATCCCCATTAATTAATTGATCCCACGTTTTTTGTTCAAATAGAAATTCAAATAGAAAGCGAGTGAGTTAGTTTTGGTGAGTTGGTTTAGAAAGCCATGTGGCATTTTTATAGGAGATGAGCAAATTGTGGAGAGATGGACACATATGATTCATTAAGGGCATAATTGTATTTTAATGAGCTATTTCTTTTCTTATATATAAATAGATACACTCATTCATGCATATTGAATTTGATCTTTATTGAAGTCATGTTAATTTATGAAATAGTGACAATATTGAATTTTCAATTGTTTGTTTAAGAAAAGTTGAAGCAAAGAGGGAAGAATAAAACTTTTGCTTGTAGTGGTTTTAGTCTCGTATAATATCGGAGGAGTCTATATCGAGTGCGTTTACCGTGCAATCAGTATACGGTGAGCACCGTATACCGGTACGGATTTATATTTTTTTTTTCCTTTTTTTTTAAAAAATGGTAATAACTTTTTTATTTTTGATCCAATTTTTATAAAATTTATATAAACATTTTTTATTTTTCATGATCTTTCAAATGAGACCAATATTGCATATGTAATTTTAACATATTAACATTTGCGTGTAAAATATGTAACTTTACGTGTTAAAATATGTAACTCACGTTCAGTCAGGCCAAATGCAACTCGTGTGTATAAATATGTATCTCTACGTGTAACAATATGTAACTTTACGTAAAAAAATATGTAACTCGCGTTCAGACAGGTCAAATGCAACTCGTGTGTATAAATATGTAACTCGCGTGTATAAATATGTAACTTTACGTGTAAAAATATGTAACTTTACGTGTAAATATATGTAAGTCGCGTTCAGGCATGTCAAATGCAACTCGTGTTTATATATATGTAACTCGCTTTTAAAAAGATGTAACTTGCTTATAAAAAGATGTAACTTGCTATTAAAAAGATGTAACTTGCTTATAAAAAGATGTAACTCGCTCATAAAAAGATGTAACTCAATGTATTATCAAATGTAACTGAGGCCACTGATCCACTCCCAAACAGATTCGATCTTCTATTTCACAAACCTATCATCTCCCAAACAGATTCGATTTTCCTTATAATCCAATACTCATTAATATAATAGTTCGATAATTTCTTAAAATTACATAAGTAATATTGGTCTCATTTGAAAGATCATGAAAAATAAAAAATGTTGATATAAATTTTATAAAAATCGGATCAAAAATAAAAAAGTTATTATCATTTTTTAACAACAAAAACAAAAAAAAAGGGGGGGGGGGGGCAAGCTGCGTCGTTTTGCAACCGGGCGCACCATCCATATGGTGCGCCGGTTGCACCGTATAATTTGCGATCTATATCACATTTTAACATTTCATATCAGATTCAGAAAATAATAAAACATACATAGATCGGATATTTACCAACATACTATAAAATCATAACTAAACAGATTGGAGTCATTGGATTACAAATTTGTAGTCCAAATTTAAAACATTTTTTCTTCTAAGATGAAAATGTAACCATCACCCGTGGAGCTAGGGGGCCAATATAAATCCCGATCCAGTCCAAATTCAGAAGATGTCTTAATTTTTAGTATAAAAAACTCCGTGTATTTTTTTCCAAACATACTCTTTGTAGCGGCACAATGCCCTAACTCTACCCTGGTAACCAGGCTATCGAACACAGTTTTAGGCCAATGCTCTAAACAACCACAACGGTTAACTAATTAAATGTAGTATTATGCATGCACTTAATTAAATATTATGTTAACGAAATTTGTAGTAAAAATTGAACACAATTTAACAAGTTAACCGTTTTAGGAATTATAGTGGAGCTCTATAGTCTATACTCTAGAGACGAAAATGGTTTTTCCCAAAGGTGTCAAATAATCTACCATAACCACAGTTATTAAGACGGTTATCCCACATTGATTTGTCATAAAGCCACATTTAATAGCTTTCTGGGACTGACACATTTAAGCTTAAGCACGTTGATGTGTTTTTGAACTAATTAAAGAATGGGTGATAAGCTTCAACAACAGTTGTTCAATAAATTTCACATTTCATCATACGGAGACTCCCTCCGTCCCGTTGGAATGTTCTCGCTTTCCTTTTTTGGATGTCCCGTTGGAAAATTCCCATTTTTCTAAATGGAAAGTTATCCTACATCAAAACAGGGTCAAACAGTGCAAAACAGTGTCAAACAGTGTTGAAACAGTGCCAAACAGTGTCGAAACAGTGTCAAAACAATAAAATTTACCTCTGGTAAGTTTATTTCCTTAATATGTGTGTAGGTCAAACCGGGAACATTCCAACGGGACAGAGGGAGTATAATATAAAGTCAATGTTTTGATACTGTATGTCTGTATATGACTATTATTTTTCCCACTTATGATCTTTCAGGCTAACTTTCCGCTGACTAAAATTGTGAGAGATGTGCTATAAATTAGCAGGAGCATATAATTTGGACGAAAAATAATAGACATGTGGAGAGCCCGTTTGATGACTCATTTTTTCGTCTTATCGGACTTATCAGCCAGTTTTTTCCACCAAACACGTAACTTTTGATTTCACTCGATGAAGTTTGTAATAAGCAGAAAAAGTAAGGCAGGAGTTACTTTTCTGGCTGTATTGGTTGAAGTTACTGTAGAGAATCATTTTAGCTATTTTTCATATACTTTTTTATTTTTAATTTATTAATAACAATCACTTTAAATATAATTTTTTCAGGAATCACCAGAATCAGCAAATACAGTCACTTCTGCCAGAAGTTCATAAATTTCAGCAGAATCAGTCAATTCAGCCAATTCATAAAAACCAAATATTCCAGGCCCCAACCTCCTGAGGAAGCGGTCCAGCTCAACTAGTTAATATTATTAATTACTGCGTATTAACCAAAAACAAAACATTAATGACATTAATCATTTAAATTATTAACTAATTCACAATATTAGGATTTTAACATTAATATACACTAAATTATTACGTTAATTGATTACTTCACAATAATACTAAAATTATGAAAATCTAATAATATACAATAAATAATTAACTAACATGTAAATGAAATGAAATGCAAATAATTCACATTTAAATCCATTTCAATCAACTAATATTTAAATTTAACTAATATTATCAATTCAAATTCTAAATTAACGGTATTACTTAATAATATTATCAATTCAAACCCATTTCAATTAACTAATATTTACATTTAACTAATATTATCATGGAACTAAAGTTCACTAATTTAACTTTCTTAATTTACATTTAACTAATATTTTTAAATATTATTAATTCACAATAATAATATAATTCACACTAAATTAATGTTTCAATGAACTAATATTTAAATTTAACTAAAATACGTTTATAGTTAAATACGCTTTTAATAAATTAACAACCTCACTAATTTAACAATTTTAATTATTTAAAATGAAAAAATTAATACTTATTGAAAAAAATACATAATTCAAATGACATATCTTATCTTCATAAACAGAGAAAATGATAAAACGATAGATTACATCCTTCAATCTTTCAACAGATACTGTATTGTACTCTGATTGAATTTTAACTGGTATCACTCAGAATGAAACTTCACTGCCATATACTACTTATAAAAAAATTTATCACGAATTTGTCACGGATAAATCTGTGACAAAACACTTTTCGTACAACGTTAATAAGATGACCATTGGAATATCAATAATTGGGTTTCGTCACGGACTTTGTCACGGACGGATCCGTGACACGGATTTTGTCACGGATTTTTCCGTGACAAACCTTTTTCGTGACAAAACCTTCATTTCCATGACAAGGCCCGTGACAACTTTGTCATGGCCCGAATCCGTGACAAAAATCCGTGACAAACGGGCTGTTTTTTTGTAGTGATATGTGATATTAGACAGATAGACACATAAATATTATTCAACAGCAAACACAATATTTTTCTCTTTATTTGAAAGGTCTTATACATTTTTGGTAAGTTTTTCTACAAACTGTCAATAATAGTGTCTAGATGTACGCATTATGATTGATATCTTTGAGAAAAATTATCACAATAATATAAACACATTGTTGCATTAGAGATGTTTCTTGGTAGCACAATCGCACGGTAACATGTTTAGATGTTCTATATATTTTATCAGACATTAGTTCCTTGTTTAAACAACATACCTTTTCAGTAAAAAATCAAGACACAAAGTTAATAAATTTCAGTCGAAGACGAGATTTTTTTTTCTCTGCAGGGAAGGAATGTAATAAGTTCTTTTCGGAAACGTACAAGCATTACTTTAATATATATACTTCGGGTTAAGTTCAATTCTATACTTAGTTAGAATGGGAATGACGACATTCCAGACGTGGTAATTCAAAAAAGAAAAAGCATGCCGAATAATTATTTCTTTTTTGTTACAAGTGAACAATATATTTATCTAAATAGTCAACGTTGACAAATATATTTGTGTGTTGTGAGCCTGGTGTTCATTTATGGTATTTATTACTCTACTAATTCGTACGTAGTACGTAGTATGGAGTATATTATTTACTGGAAAGTAAAATATAAAAAACCCCAAGAAAATTGGGTTGACAAAAAAAAGATTAGTTTTTTTGAATGAAAAAAAAAGATTAGTTAACAATTGTAAAAGTAAAAAAAAAAAAACCAATCAAAATCGGCGTCAATAAATTTCCCAATAGCTTCCAACCAAATCTATGATCAAATTACCGCTGCAAAAATGGGTTTGTTCCCCCTCTTGATGCTATCAATTTGAGTAGTTTCGTAAACAGGCAATCCACTTGATGATGAGTACAAATCCTTCATCAATTCACTAATTGGTAGATCAAACAGATCAGAGCTAGTTTCACTACACCCATCATCATGATCTTCTTCTTCATTATCCCTTTTTATTCTTACCTTCAATATTTGTTTCTCACAAGCACTACTCAATACCTTTTTTGGTGTTGAGTTAGACCCAACCTTGTTTTTTGCCAAGGTTGATATAATCTTGTGGTTGATCACCCTTTGATGATTAACATCGGGGAAAATAGCAAAGTCTTTACACGACTTTGCTGGCGCATTTGCGCAAGAAGTAGCAGTAGTAGTAACAGTAGTAGATACGGAGCGAGGACTTTTGAAACCCCATTTTCTTCTACTCCTTATCCGTCCCGGGATCTCATCTTCATCTTCATTGTCCTTCTCCGTTTTCGACTTCTTCTTCGTTTGGTTGAAGAGAGAGTTGAGGAAGTTGGCAAGTCTCACTCGAGGAGAGCTTGGTTGCTTGTGCTTTCGACTAGAAATCCTCTCGACGGGCCGTGGTTTTTCCATTTCAGGGTCCGTCGGGAGGATTAGGGACGATGACTTTCGGAATGGCACGGGCATGTCTAGGCTCCTTCTCCCTCGTCTCCATGTCTCATGTTGATGATGATTCTTGCGTGGAAAAGTTGAACTATCTACGGAATCTGAAAAATATTTTGCAGCCTCAAATACATCAAGCTCTCCCGAGTCATTTCTCCAACGGAGAGATTTCTTGGACATTATTCTAATCCAATATTAAATTTTGGAAGTTTATAAATGTATGTTTGTATAGTATATATATGCATGTAGCCGTGAAGGAAGGTATTTATACTAGAGATTTATAATGATCATTATAATGAATTAATGATGAGTTCCGACGATGCATCATGGTCATTGTCAAGGATTTAGTATAGTGCCTCATTTGTTTATTAATTGATGACAACTATATTAATTATTTAAATCATATGATAAAGAAATATGGTCAAATTTGTATACATTTTACATAAAAACTTTTAAGTAGTTTTTTTAAAATTGGCACATTAAAAAGTAGTAAAGGTAAATGGGATACCGTGTTTGGAAAATGACATTTCAGGGGAAAAATGCGGTTTGACCTTTTTGGAAACACAGTAAATCGAAGTGTTTTGGATTAGCGTTTTAAAATATGACGTTTTCTACTAATTGGTATGGTCAAACATCAAAATTATCGTATATCTTCTGACAACCCATCAACTTATTTCGTTAGTCAAACTCACTGACCGAATCCGCTGTAAACAACTCGCTAACACAATTCGCTATCTGTTAACCACTAAATGCTCGATTAAATGAGGAATAAAAACAACTGTATAATCATAAAGAGACATGGGGTAGGATTTTAATGATCCAGTGAGAGCAAGCGTGGATAGGACCGGGCCTTAATTACCTGAAATTAACATTTGGATGATAATCAAACACTCAAGTTATGTGGTGGGACCCTACCATGCATGTGGGCCCTCCACCAGCGTTACACAGTACTAAAAGAGGGGTGTAAGTTGTGGACTATGGCTCAAAAGGTGGCAGAAGATTGCACGTAGACTTTACATCAAGTGCCAACTTACGTCATATGAAAATGAATTGTTATTTGATACTCCTAGAAAACATTGTTCTTAGTTAAGTCTATCTTTTCTGCAAGTACCCCTTTAATTACCTGAGCATGCTAATATTTTTAATGTCGTATGGTGATTATCATAAGTCCTGAAGTTCAGTTTGCTTGAGGACAAGCAAAAGTTTAAGTATGGGGAATCTGATAAGTCCGTATTTCGACACGTATTTGATGCGTGTTAAGATCAGCTTTTGATGGTTTTCCAAGCTTAAGGGGTTCATATATAAGTCTCATTTTTAGCTAAAGTCATGTTTTACCGGGCGTATTTACGGAGTATAAACCTACTACAAAACTGGCGAATGAGAGAGATGCATTCTGATCAGGGGCGGAGACAAGCTAAGGGGTCAAGATGGTCAGCGGACCCTTCTTTAAAATTTGAGAGTATAGAGCTATAAAATATCTTCGATTTGATATATTATGGCTCATGTAATTCATTACGAGTAAAAAATTATGATTTTTGGAAGATTAGCATTATCTTAATGTAAATTTAGCAAAATTTGATGCATATTATATATTATTTTCCTAAATTTTAGAAATAGGGTATAATTTACTCAATACTTACGTGACATTACTCAGATACATAGCAAAAACAATCTATCTTGTTTCTACGAGTGCATATTTATCTAAACTGCATACGATAGTATAAAATATTCAACTCGGATATTGTTTAAAAATGATCCACCATTTTCATTTTGTATCTTGCTAGTTTGAGTTTTGACCCCATAAAGTCGAAATCTTATTTGATTTCGAGGTCAAATAAGATAACTATGACTTTTCATAAGAATGTGGTCATTTAAGAGCATGCATTTCTCTTGTATCTTGCGTAAACAAATACGTAGATATATATTTTGTCGATCACATGCATGGCAATGCAAATGGGCGTATAAATGTGATGGTTGATTCAATTCAAGTAACTAAGAGCGTGAGAGATTGATAGCCATCTTGAGATATGTAGATCGAGCAAAAATGATACTCTCTCCGTCCCATTTTACATGTCCTAGTTTTCTTTTTAAAATTTCCCAAAATAAGTGTTACATTTTATTTTTGGAAAAAATATGTGATTTACAACATTTGAAATTATTATATACTCAAATCTCAACTATAATTTTACCTTTTCAACCACTCCATTAATAATTATTGTGTCAAAGCAAAGTAGGACACATAAATAGGACCGAGGTATACTATTATATTAGTATATACTCCGTAATATATATTTATAAAACTAAACTATGGAAAACAAAGAGAAATAATGTGGATAGTTAGAGATCTAACTTTTAAATAACAATTTTGCTATAGGTACCCTATACTTACCCAATTTACTACCCCATATAAATACCTCCTTTTTACCATCCCTTTTACCCTCTCCCCTTTCTTTTTCTTTTCTCCAAAACTTGATTTCTTCTCCATTTCAAGATCTCTTCCCATTAAGTTTTCTCATTTTTACAATCTTTTCTCCCTCTAAATTTCTTCTCTTGCTTATCTCCTCTTCTGCCTTTTTTTCGTTTCAAATGGAAGAGCTACAATAATCGGACGAAGGGGAGAAGCTCGGTGACGTGGGGAGACAACGACGAAAGTGCAGATCAAGAAGCTTCGAATGACTTGAGGAGATCTACTTTTCTTGATTTTTTTCTTGATTTTTTGGTGTGCTTTCAAAAAAAATGTTGTCTTCCCTGACAGACAACTTGTAAGTGCAGTGTCTGTGTTTGTATTTTGTTTGGCGGACAGACAATTTGGATTTGCAGTGTCTGACTAGCATAAAGTGAACGTGGTTTCATAGTTGTTTAAAGTGAACGTGATTTTATAGTTGTTAGAGTCGTAGATAAAATGTGTGTGTGGTCAGACAACTTTAAATTAAATGTATGTGATTTTGTTTGGAAACATGGTTGTATTGATAATGTAGTTTTTATATAAATGTGTGTGCCTTTTTTTGAAACATGGTTGTATTGGTAATGTGAAGACAAATGTGGTGAATGAATTACATATGTAGTCTCTCTGTCTTACAGCCAGACAAATTTTGTCTTGACCAGACATTAGTAGTCTGGGACAATTAACTACTCTCTATCCTACAACCAGACAAATTTTGTCTTGACCAGACATTAGTAGTCTGGGACAATTAACTACTTTCTGTTCTACAGCCAAACAAATTTTGTTTTGGCCAGACATTAGTAGTCTGGGCTAATTAAGTACTCTTTGTCGTATAGCCAAACAAATTTTGTCTTGGCCAGACATTAGTAGGCTGGGCCACATTCTCCCGACTTGTAGACAAACAACTCAGAAGAAAGGCCAAACATTTTATATCTCATTAAAGACAATTTGTTGCAATACATTGGTAGAGAAGTCAATTCCCATGACAGAAAACTACAACCCAATTTTAATGAATTCCAAACGGCGTGCAAGACGATTCAAATGGGGTCCCTGATCGAGAACTAATTTTACCTGACAGACAACTACAAAACTATTTTCTACAATTTAAAATAATCTGACAGACAATTAAAATGTCTTGCCAGACAACTACTTTCACATGACAAACAACTACAAACCAATTTTAAACCATTGGATTTAACGTACCAGACAACTAATATGCCTTGTCAGACAACTACTTTCACATGACAGACAACTGTAAACCAATTTTAAATAATTCAAAATAAATTGACAGACAACTCCAAACCAATTACATAATATTCAAAATACCATGACAGACATCTCAATATCATCACAGAGTAGTCTAAATATACACAAGTACTTCACAATTTTACCAGACATACAACTATTTTCACATTACAGACAAATCAAATGGAATGCCAGACAACTCTTTTCACTGGAATTTGAAGCTAACAGATCTGAACCATCACAGGTATCTTTCGAAGTTATGGTCGCTGGAATTTGAAGGTTTTGAACTGAAATTACAGGTTGGTGGAGAAGGTGTGGAAGGTTTTTAAATCTGGCCGGCACTGAAATTACTGGGACAGTGGTCAGGTGTCGCCGGAGAAGATGACCGGCTTGCCGAGCATCTGTTCCGCTTGCCGTTACGTAGTCCGTCTACTGTTAGACCTCCGCTCCTGCTACCTTGCCGTTGCCGCTGGGGGTGGTCGGGGCCTGATGCCTGACGGGGGTTTAGCCGGTGTCCGTCTGGGTTTTCCGACTTCCCAACGGAGCTGCTTGGGTGTTCGCCGAAACCAAACAGTGGGGTTTAATTGAGGGAAATGAAAGGGAGATGAAAGGGAGATGAAAGGGAGAGGGACTGGCTGGAAAATCTGGAGATGAAAAGGAGATAAGGGGGAAGGAAGATGAAGGATGTTGAATATTTAGTTTTGTTGATGACTAACCATGCAGGAACGAAAGAAGGAACTGTTGATGACTAACCATGCAGGAACAAAAGATGAAAACTATCCTATGATTGGTCCTACTGATATCTAACCACGCAGGTAGAACGGCGGACAGAACTGCTCTTAGTTCTATCAGGAACGAAAATTAGAACTATACTTATTTCTGTTCTATATGAATGACTGTCGTGCATAATGAATAAATTAATTGATATATGCTTGCATGATAACACCTTCTCTACGTGCCTAGATTGATCATGCATGACTAAGCACTCACTTTAATGAGTTGGTCTATATAGCCTTATAGGTTATGTAAAGAATCATTGCTTATATCCTGCATCAATTGACCGTAGCATAATTGGATCCACTAAGTAAATATTTCCTTATCACTTAATGTTGATTAGTCATTATTAGTTAAAATATTAAATGAATATTTTTGGAATGTATCTTGGCTTGCCTACATGAATACCCTACTAATCGTTGATTGCATAAATATTTTATGGCTACACACTACAAAAAAAATCGCTTGTAGTCACGGGCCGTAGTCACAGATTTGGTCCGTGACTAGTTAGTCACGATTGTAGTCACGGTTTAGTCACGGATCGTTTAAAAAAAATAGTCACGGATTTGTCCGTGACTACGTCCGTGACTATGGTTAGTCACGAATGTAGTCCGTGACTAAGGTGTTCCGGCCAACCCAATTTTGCCTCTGACGGGGTTTATTTTAAATTTGAAATTAGTCACGGAACCGTCCGTGACTAATTCCGTGACAAGTGCAAAATTAATTTTTACAACGTTTCAAATTTAAAGTGCACCGACAAACCGTACAAAAAATATGTAGTCACGGAC